GGTCACCACATACATCCCCTCATCCTCCCCCTCCCCCTCCCCCTCCCCCTCCCCCTGCTGCAGGAGCAGCAGAGGGGGGGGACAAACAGAGGAGAATGGAGCCGTAGGGCCAGGGGACCACACTCACCCATCACCCCCACACCCGCCACCCCCAGTCCCTCCCCGGGCTCCCCACACTCTCACACCCTCCCCCCCAGCGGCAGTTGCAGCAGAGGGAACAAAAGGAGGAGGAGAAAGGGGTGGGGGGGGGGAAGGGGGGGGGGGGGGGGGGCCGACGCACGGCCTCCCCGGGCGCCAAAGCAAGCGGCAGAGGGGGCGACGACTCCCCCCCCACGCGGCCCCCTCAGGTCGCCTCGACAGGTGACGGGAAAAGGGGGGGGGGGCGGTGCACGTGCCCCCGGTGTGCCTCGGCTGGCGATAGGGCATGGCCGGGGCGGGGTCGGGGCCGCAAGAGGGCGGGGCCGCAGGTGGCATCGGGGCCTGGGGCGGGTACCGCACGGGCGGCGACGGGCCGGGACGGGCGGCGACGGGCCGGTACGGGCGGCGACGGGGCCGCAGCGGACGGCGGCGCGTCGTACGGGCGGTACGTGACGCCGCGAAGGGCGGCGACGGGCTGGTACGGGCGGCGAGTAGGCCGCAGGTAGGGCGGCGGGACGGCCGCAGGTAGGGCGGCGGGTGGGCCGCGACGGAGTGGCGGGGCCGCTCGAAGGAGTGGCGGGGCCGCGACGAAGTGGCGGGGCCGCGCGAAGGGGAGGCGGGGCCGCGACTAAGTGGCGGGGCCGCTCAAGGGGTGGCTGGGCCGCGACGAAGTGGCGGGGCCGCTCGAAGGGAATAAGGGGCACGCCACGGGGCGTGCCAAACACAGAGTAGCAGCGGAAGCTTTAAAGTGGGGCCCACAGGTCAGGACCTTGTCACTCTGATAGCATGTCAAGATACTAGCAATGGGTAGGCTTAGGAGCCATGGTTGAGTTCGAGTAAGTTTAGGAGAGTCGAGAAAGTTTGAAGAGAAGAAGTGGTTTCACTATAGAGCGAGCAGTACATATAGGCAAAATGAAAGGTGCACCACCAAAACAGAACATTGTATAACTACAGTAATCTACACTACAGGCAGTTACAAAACAATATATAAAACTATATATTATTCTGACAATAAACAGATCAAGGAATACAACAAAATGCTACGACAATATTTAGGCAAAGAAACAAAGACAGACAAAAATTTATTTCTCTTTTACTCTCTTTCGACACTCATTCTCTCCTCCACTCTCTCTCCCACTCCCTCTCTCATTCTATTTCTTTCCCACGCTCTTCTCTCACCCAAATTCTGCCGACTTCGTTGCTGCAGCAGCCGCGGATAGCACGCCTGGAGATGAAGAGCGTGGTGGTGTCGCCTCTCCCTTAGCGCGCCTGGCACGAGCAAAAAGTTGCCAGCGTGCCAAGCACCAACAGAACGACGACAGAGAGAGGATAAAAGAAGGGAAACCAAAGAGAGACATTGACGGAGGGAAACGGTGAAGAAAAATAAGATAGCGGCTGGATATAGAAGTATTTGATGAAAACATACGGAAGGAACGGGAGAAACGAAAGAGAGAAAGAAACAAAATGTAGATCTACTAGTGCAAAGAAAAATAGACTACATACTTGAGCACCTGGATTACGAGGAGTTGTGGGAACCGTGGCAGGTGAGAGTAGCGAGAAGAAAGGAGAGAGATTCAGCGGAAAGAAAAAACGAAATCTAGAAACCTAACCACGATTTCGTCGACGTAAACCGAAGAGATGACGAAAACCTAGTCTAGATAATAATCATGTAGTTAGTTCTAATTAGTAGCTCAGATCTTCCTCACCTAGTGGTAGGTAGAGCTTGAATACCGGGGAAGGTGTCAAGCAAACTTCACCACAGAGAGGCGTGGAAAGAAAGAGAGAATGAAACCCTAAGGCAGTGGCAAATTTATGGCAAAAAAGTTGCATGTAAATAACTTGACGCATTGACCTGTCTGAGTATTTGGTGAAGACGATAGATAATCATATAGTAGATGCAGGTTCGAATCTTGAGAGTGATTTTAGAACCATGAACAGGTTTTTACTCTAAACAAAAATCTAGTGTTTACTCTAATAATGGTTAACAAACTAAGACGATTTCGTCGCCTCTTGTTTTTTTTTTTTGAAGTGAAAGCGTACACAAGAGAATGTACAAGCGAAACACTCCAGTCGTAACTGATGCACTGGGCTCGAGCTGGCGAAATCCCGCCTAGCCCTCCCCGCAACTTTAAGGTGGCTTCACGAAGGTCCTCGAGTTCGACCAGATATACTGAAAGCTTCCTTGCCACTTCAGCCCCACCGCCTCGTTGACGCATATCGCTGCATGACACGTGCCTCATCCTCTGTCAAGTTCCACCTCGCCTTATCCTGTCAAACTATATATGATTTATAATTAGGTTTAGGCTTTAGTGGGGTAGCTCATGTAGGGTACAACCCCTTAGGGTTCTCATCCTTGTACCCAACTCCCTCGATAGTCAAACATTCCTATCTAGAACTCTAACATATCCTTCCGTGCCTATCTGCTCGGCTTGCCACAGTAGATTCTCGCATGCTTGTTGAACTCAACGTTGATCCTCCGGAGCACCATCCGTGCCTGAAATTTCTTCACCTTATGGAGCGACACATCACACCTTCCCAACCAGACCTTGTGCATCGCCGCTGCCACCATAGTAGCCCTAGGAAAACTGGACCTTGTTTCCTCCCCACCAAACACGAAATCCGCCAGCCTGCCAACTCGCTTTGCTGGCTGCATCATGCTGAGCGCCGATTTGACAGCGCTAACCATCGGCGCCACACTCATGCGCAATAAATGCTCCAGCGTCTCTTCCAAACCGCAATTCGGACACATCGCTCCACCCTTTCACAAAAGAAACACTTTCTCCCACTTGCAGGTTGAGATTTTGCACACGGAGCAGTATGTCCCTTGCCTTGGCCGGAACCACCAGTGAATCCCGGACTTTCCTACTCCGCTCCCAGTTGATTTTCCTGCCCGCCTGGGCCTCCCACTTCGCCCTTTTCACCTCTACAGCCTCCACCCCCTTGCTCGGCTCCCTGAGTTCCCTCAACGGGGCCACTTCCTCCTCCTTAAATAGTGACGAGTTTAGTAGCCGCGTTCTTGGATCCCCAGCTTCACATACCGCCCGAGCGCTAGACAGCTTCACCGGTACCACGCTATCACAACACAACACCAGCTTTACATCCCACGCCGAGCACTTCCCTTTTCTGCTTAGTCCCCGAAGCTCCACCTTCCTGCCCATCTTACCACAGATTTCCCAGAGGCATCTCTGCCTGCTCGGAAGCCTAGTACACACCACCGACGATTCACCTGCTACCTCCTCTTTCGTCAGAGGCGCCAACACCCACTGACGCCACTGCTCCGGCGCCGCGTTGAACACCTTAAGTGCCATCTCCACCTCCTTTTTGCCCTCCAACTCCCTAGCAAGTGTCTCTTCTGACTTCACTACCCTTGTACCGTCCCATTTCCTCATTACCATGTCACGCATCTTCCACCTCCTTAGCTTTTCCGTTCCTTTCTGCCCACCGAAGGAAGCGTTCCCGCGGTGAATAATATGCTTGTTGTAGCACAGAAACTCCACTTCTGCTTCCCACCTTGACGCCACCTCTGGCACTTTCACCACCGTGGACTTCAAGATTGCCTTACACAACCTTGCCCACCTCCTGCTTTTGATCAAACCCCCTCTCAACACTGCCTTATGCGCGTATAACGTTGCCCAGCCAAGAGGTAATTTTGCCGAACGTTCCGACAGCCCCCGCCTGAGCGGACACTCCAGTTGCAGCGCCAAACCCGCGGGTCTATCACTCCCAGTCCCCCCTGCTCCCTCGGTGTGTACATCAGATCCCCACTCCAGAGCCTGAAATGCCGCTCCGTGTCTGCGTGGTTACGGGACACAAAATTTTCAATTAGCTTCTCTACTCTCCTCCACAGCAAGTCGTCTGGTGGGTACACCTATGCTTGAAAGAGGAAAATCGGTAGGACATAACTGTTGATTATGGTTACACGTGCTCTAGTCGTGAGATACTTGGTGCTCCATTTGCTTAGCTTTCCTGCCGCTCTGTCAAAGGCCTTTTCCCATGTTGCCTCTGCGTCCCCCCCCGGTGATATCCACACCCCGAGGAGCCTTTCATCTCATTCTCCCCTACCCACTTATATCCCATTCCGTCAGGCGCAACGGCAGGACCGCAGACTTCCCCGCGTTCACTTTTAGCCTTGACACCACCGCGTACTCTTGCAATAGTACTCCCGCATCTTTCAGTTGCTGTACCCCTTCCAACACAAGAGCTGTGTCATCTGCATATCCCACATACGAGAGCCTGTCACAATTTCCTTCTCCGATCCCCAACTTTATCTCCTCTACCAATCGGCTCATAGGCTCCACCGCATACAAGAAAAGGTACGGCGCAAGTGGGCAACCTTGCCGCACTCCTAACCTCATCGTTATTTGCTCTCCGATCCACCCATTGACGCACAGCCTCGTGTGTAACCGAAGAGGAAAGCCCAGCTTGGCGTCTGTCTCCACCATGAGGTCTCTGCGTACTGAGTCGTACGCCTTCTCGAAATCGATCAAAAGGAGGTACCAGTCACTGTTTTCATTCCGGGTTGCTTCAATCATGTCTGCCACCATCGACACCGTGTCCGTCAATCTCCTTCCGGGTAAGAAACCGTACTGCTCGTTTGAAATCACCTGTCCTAACACCGCTTTAATCCACGTCGCCACCACTTTTGCCAGGATTTTGTACACCCCTGAAAGCAATGTGATCGGCCTATAATTCCTGATGTCCGTTTCTGCCCCCTTCTTGTACAACAGGATGGTAACCGCCTCGTTTGCCATATCCGGCAGTTTCCCTGTCGCAGCGAACTCCCGAACCATCTTCATCACCGGTTCCCGTAACAGCTCCCAATGACGCTGGAACAACTCCTTGGGCAGCCCATCACAACCTGGTCACTTGGTGTTGGCCAGCTCCTTGAGCGCCTGCTTGATCTCCTTCTCCGACCAATCCCTCATCAAATTTTCTGCTGACGCTTCTTCCAGCGTCTTCCTCGGCGTCCATTCCAGCCTCGGCATGGAAACACCCGCGAAGGTCTCGTCAAAAGCCTCATTGAAATGACAGGTAGCCGCCTCCGGAATTTCCCATGCTTCCGTATGGCTGACCCCGTTCCGCACCAACTCCTTGATCCCCATTTATGCTTTCCTGCTCTTGAACAGCGCCGTCAGAAAACTCGTTGGTGCTTGCCATCCCTGCTGCACCTTGAGTCCAGTTCGTATTTGCAGCAGGTTCCTTCTACCATCCCAATACCTTTGCAGCAACGCTTCACGACTGGTCAAGAGGGCCTGCACCTCATCGTCATACGGGTCAGCCATTGCCCTATGTTGTAGCCTTTCCACTTGCTCTTCCAAAGTTCTCCTGGTGTGCTTCACATGTCGTTGCTCCTCTTTGTCGTACTTCCGCAGTTGCGCTGTCAAGCTCCTTGATAGCTTGTCAAAATCCCCGCTCCCTCTTTTGCAGTGTCTTCGCGATTACCTTCGCTACACCTGGTTCCGTCACCAACCGTGTCGGGAAACGCCATATCCCTGGGCCTGATTCCCGCGGGCCTCTCCAACCAAGCCTCAGCTTCACCACAAATTTGTGATATTTGATCCCCTTCGGTATCCGCTTGTGCGCCGCCCCCGCCACTAGATGCAGCATGGATTGCGATACCAGCACCCTACCTATATGCGAGCTGACTTTCGCCGACTTGCAGTAGAAAGTGAACTGTCTCTCATCCGGATTCAGCTCCCAAAACACATCCTTCACATGGAAATCCGCCAGCATCTGCATCATGCGGCAGTTATCTCTTAACACCCTCTGCCTGTTTGGCTTGTCCAGTATGGGTCTTATATCATATTGAAATCCCCTACCACCATAAGATCTTCCCCCCTTGGCAGGCTCTCCGCGACGTCTTTGAAGGCGGATCCTAGGAAACTTCCCCTCGATGGCGGTTGCACTGGAAAGTACACCGCCAGCAACCGCAACACCCTCGTCCCCCATCGCAACCGCACATGAAGCAGCCTCCCTGTAGGATGCCGTTGAACATCCTCTGTTTGCATTCCGTCCTTGAAACTCAGGATGGCCAGGCCACCTGCTCTGGTAGGTGCTGCCACCGCAGCCATGCTACTGGGCCGGAGTTTTGTCCAGAAGTTATGGTCTTCCACTACCGTTGTATCCGCCAGGACCACTATGTCTGCAGTTGTTCTGATCCACCTTTTCACTGCTTGCTGCTTCCCTAAACTTCCTAAGCCGTTGACGTTCATGGACACGATTGTTAGCCGGTTGGTGTTATCTATTATTTAACTCCTGTCGTGGCCCCTACGCATCCACAGGGCGGTGATACAACAGCACTCGGTGACTCACTACAACCATCAGTACAGCATTTGTTGCAACTCCACCTACTACTCATCTCCCTTTGTGCCTTCTCTTCTGCGCAGCATGTGAACTCTCCCTTCTTTGCAGGACCGATGCACTCCGTCACACACCGATCTCTTTCTTTGCCGCAACCAAATTGACGCCTGCCTTGGAGCTGCGCGATGCCAAGCCTGACACCAGACCATCGATGTGCCGCTCGGATACAACATGCTCCGCTGCCTAGGCGAAAGACACCCCGTTCGCTTTCTCGCAGCTCTCTTGGACGCAGATCCACTCCTCGCAATTCCCTCCAGTTGAGATCAACACCACGGCCGGGTCCTTCAAAATGAGCCTGGTCAGATCTGTGATCCTGACTGAGGCGACTGCGTGGAGTCGACACACCCAGAACATTAGCACCGCACCACTGTGGAAACTTCAAGAAAAAAATAAACAGATAAGTCAGAAGCACCCCACACACATTACCATTAATCCCATGGACTCGTCCCCGTGACAAGCTCCAGTTGCTGATGTTGTTATGCCTGTCCGTCACATACTCATCGCGGTACCTCATCATATGAGATACCCTAAGTAGTAGGCACAGTCCAGGGAGGGGTAATGCACCAGCAGCTGCTTAGCATAGGAGGTTGGATCCTCGATCAGATGGCGCCAATGGTAGTTATCCTCCTCATGCTGATTTACCAAGCCCTTAACCTTATCTGTGTCCATCCGTGTGACAGAATTCACCACCCTGTGGAAACAGCTCCCTTCTTTGAAAGCCGACCGTCCGCGCTTCTCCAACTTCACCTTCACTAGCATATCGCAGAGCATCTCCGGCGTGATCACCGCGCCCACCCCTTTAAATAGAACTTCAACTAGCAGCGGGTCAGCCGCGCGCACCTTCACGTAAGCAGGGTCCACCTGGTGCTGCCAGTCTAAGTTGATGCGCTTCCCGTCAACACAGGTGTGCACGATCCCATGTTTCCACACAAGATTGGCATCCCGAGCCCGGTCGAAGGTAACCAGCAGCCTCCAGTATTCCTTCTTGTTCAGGAACAACGCCGCCAGCTCGTGAAACTTCGTCGTTGCCTGAATCTCCATGTTCAGGTCCTTCTTCCACAGATTGAAGAGTGTACGGAGCGTCGCCTGCACACACGTAGTCTCCGACTTGAAGGCGATTGGGATCAGCAGGACAATGGCGAAATGAATCCGCTGCGCAACTTCGCTCTTCGCCTGGGCATCGTAACGCTCTTCTGGGTCGTCACTAAGGTAACCATCATCCTCCTCCTCGTCGACAGACTTTGAAGATTTGTTGACCACCGCATCCTTTCCTTTTCGCAGGGTACCACCAGAAGCTCCACTGGTAGCAGTGACCTTAACACCGTCTTCCGGTAACTGCGACTTGTTGCCAATGCCAGCAGTAAGCAAGTCGCGAACCGCCTCCCGCACACCTTGCGTCGACCTAGCTAGCTGAAGTGCATCCGTATCCACCTCTGTGAACAGGTCAGCCATACGCTTTACGGCCGAAGTAGCTGAAGCGTCAACGACCACCGGCACCTCCTTGGGCTTGTCCAGGGTAGCACCAGCATAGCCATCAGTATTGCAGACCCCCCCGTTCCTGGTAGTCACCCTAGACATAGTGTAATGATGACACGGCGTAAACTGAACGCCTCCTTACACAGCGTAATGTCAAACATTGTATGTTGTGGTTGTTTAGGCTACAGTGGGTTAGCCTATAGTGGGTATACATTTCTAGGGTTAGGTTTGACCTATTTGTACCCAACCCTCATTCTAGTGATCCATTCTCATTCTGACATGGTATTACGAGCCTAGGTTTCACCTAGGACCGAAACGATAGGGCCCACCGTTTCCGCTAGCCGCGCCCTCGTGCGCCGCCTTTTCCTGCGCCTCAAGCGCCTTGTTCTTAAGGCCCCCTAAGGCCCTCTCGCGTCGCCCCTTAAGGCCCCTCACGGCCCCTCGCGTCGCCCTCTTAAGGCCCCTTACGACCACGCGCTAGCCTCTCAAGGCCCCGTGCGGCCCCGCGCTAGCCCCCTAAGGACCCGTCGGCCCCGCGCAATCCCCGCGCTAGCCCCCTAAGGCCCCCGTCGGCCCCGCGCTAGCCTCTCAAGGCCCCCGAACGGCCCCGCGCTAGCCCCGAATGGCCCCGTACGGCCCCCCGCGCTAGCCTCTCACGGCCCCCCCTCGGCCCCGCGCTAGCCCTCTAAGGCCACCGTCGGCCCCGCGCTAGCCTCTCACGGCCCCCCCCTAGGCCCCGCGCTAGCCCTCTAAGGCCCCCGTCGGCCCCGCGCTAGCCTCTCACGGCCCCCGAACGGCCCCGCGCTAGCCCCGAACGGCCCCCAACCGGCCTCGCCCTCGCCCTGGACGGCCCCGCGCTCTCCCTTAACAGCCCCACCCGGCCCCGCGCTCGCCTCTCTAGGACCGAGCCGAACCGCGCGACCCGACCGAGCCGCGCGACCCGACCGAGCCGCGCCGCCCTAGCCGAGCCGCGCCGCCCTAGCCGAGCCGCGCCGCCCTAGCCGAGCCGCGCCGCCCTACTGCTACTACCACTGCTGCTACTGCTACTCCTGCTACTACTACTACTGCCACTGCTACTGCTTCAACTATGGCTAGCCCTACAGTTCTCTCGTTCGATACTGAGGGCCGCCCGATTAAGTTTGAGACCTCGCTCAATGATCTGCACCTGTTCCTCCAGCTCACTGCCCGAGAGGATATCTCGCTGTACGATCACGCACTAGGCACAGACCCTGCTCCTGCTACTACTGCTACCGCTACTGCTCGCTCGCAGTGGCAGACTCGCGATGCCCACGCCCGCTTTGCCATTCGCAACTCACTGCCAGTCGATGAGCGCGAGCACTTTGGCCAGCATCAGACTGCGCAGGCCCTCTACACTGCTGTAGTTGCGCGCTACTCCTCCCCGGCCTCAGCTGCACTAGGCCGCCTCTCGCTTCCCTACCTGTTCCCCGACCTGTCCGCCTTCCAGACAGTCGCTGACCTCATCACTCACCTCCGCACTAGTGATGCCCGCTTCCGTGCAGCCATGCCCGCTGAGTTTCTTGCCTCCAACCCTCCCCCGCTCTGGCTCACTCTCTACCACCTAGTCACCCGCCTCCCTGACACTCTGCGTACAGTCAGGGACCACTTCCTAGCTCGCTGCCCCACTGAGCTCACCATTGCCGCCCTAGAGAAGGAACTACTTGCAGCTGAGAAGAGTATTGTAGCTGTAGGTGCCTCTCATGGCGACCCCCGCACCCCTTTCTTCGAGGGGTGTTCCCCCTCCCCCCTGCTCCCCTCTGTCGCCTCTGCTGCTGCTGTCGACCTCCTTGGTGCTGAGCAGGTCGGCTCTGCGTCCGCTCCCAGCGGGCGCCGCAGCGGCAAGGGCAGGGGAGGCAAGGGCGGTGGGGGTGACGGCGGGGGAGGCGGTGGTGGGGGTGGTGGCGGCGGTGGGGGCGGTGGCGGGGCTGGAGGGGCTAGTGGCAGCGGTGGGGGTGGTGGAGGCAGCGGCGGCGGCGGTGGTCGGGGTGGGGGCGGTGGTGGTGGCGGCAGTGGACGTGGCGGCGGCAGGGGCGGTGGTGGTCGTGGTGGAGGCGGTGGTGGTGGTCGTGGAGGCTCTGGCCCTGGCCAGAGCGCGCAGCACCCTCAGTCCTCCCAGGAGCTTCGTGAGTGGTACTTACAGCACGGGGGTGGGGGGGGTAGCCTTAGCTGCACGTACGTCATCCGCACTGGTCGCCGCAAGGGACAGACGTGCGGGAGGGCGCACACTGCTCAGCGCTGCTTCTCTCGCCTAGATGACGCTTGGCGTGCTCAGTTTCCTAACGCTCCTGAGCTCCCTCAGTGGGCTGATCTCCTCAAGAAGGATATCGATATCTATGCTCTTGATTTTGATGTTATTCTCAAAGCCATGTATGCATTGACTATTAGTGGAGAGGAGGACCAGTACCTGTGTGTTCCGCCTGACCCAGGCATCCGCACGAATGAGGCTGCCGCTCAAGGTGCTTGCGGGTCCGCTGCCCCAGGTGCTGGTGAGGCTACTGCTCTAGGTGCTTGTGTGTCTGCCACCCCAGGTACTACTGAGTCCACTGAGGTACTGCACACCTTCACTCTAGACTCAGGCGCCTCGCGCTGTTTCTTTCGTGACCGCACTGCCCTTGAGCCCCTTGCTCGACTAGTCGCTGTCTCACTCGCTGACCCCTCTGGGGGTCCGGTCATTGCGACCTCCTCCACCCTCCTTCCTTGTCCTGCTGTCCCGTCGGGCACACTGTCAGGTCTCCACCTCCCCTCGTTCTCTACGAACTTGGTGGCGGGTTGTGCGCTTCAGGATGGGGGTGTTCACCAGTTCACCCCTGCCTACGAGCGCGTGACACACTGCACGTGTGCTCGGACGGGCCGTCACCTGGCTACCTTCACTCGACAGCCGGGGTCGGACCTGTACACACTGACCACTGAGTCCCCTCAGGTAGCGGCGTCTGCGTCTGCGTCTGCGTCAGGTCAGCTGTCTGCCCCCTGCTCGTGTCGCTCTCTAGCGCACAAGACTGTCCTCTGGCACCACCGACTTGGTCACCCGTCAGTGCAACGCCTTCGGGGCATGCACGCCCGGTACCTTGTCTCTGGTCTTCCTCGGGTACTCCCTCCCCTCCCACCCTCCCTTGCTCCTCCTTGTCTTCCCTGTGTCGAGGGGCGGCAGCGCGCTGCCCCTCACTCCTCCTCGTTCCCCCCGACGACTGCTCCTTTGCAGACGCTCCACATGGACGTGTGGGGCCCAGCCCGCGTCCGTGGTCAGGGCCAGGAGAGGTACTTCTTGATCGTCGTTGACGACTACTCGCGCTACACCACGGTCTTCCCCTTGCGCACCAAGGGTGAAGTCCCTGATGTTCTGATCCCTTGGATCAGCAGAGCACGTCTTCAGCTGCGAGAGCGTTTTCGCTCGGAGTTTCCTGTCCTGCGCTTGCACTCTGACAGAGGTGGCGAGTTCTCCTCCGACCTTTTGGCAGCCTACTGTGCCGAGCACGGCATTCGCCAGTCGTTCATGCTCCCGGCCTCTCCACAGCAGAATGGGGTTGCTGAGCGCCGCATTGGCTTGGTCATGGAGGTCGCTCGTACCTCCTTAGTCCACGCGGCTGCCCCCCACTTTCTGTGGCCGTTTGCGGTCCGGTACGCTGCGCATCAGCTCAACCTCTGGCCCCGTGTCTCCGCTCCGGAGATCTCGCCCACACTGCTGTGGACGGGGGAGGTTGGCGATGCGTCACGCTTCCGTGTCTGGGGATCCCGAGCTTTTGTTCGCGACACGTTTGCGGACAAGCTCTCCTCCCGCACTGCTCCGTGTGTCTTTCTTGGCTTTGTCCCGGATGCGTCTGGCTGGCAGTTTTACCACCCCGCCTCGCACCGCGTCTTCCCCTCTCAGGACGTCACTTTTGACGAGTCCGTGCCCTTCTACCGCCTCTTCCCCTACCGCACTGCCCCGCTCCCTCCCCCGCCTCTCTTCCTCGCGCCAGGTGCTGCAGTGGTAGACCCCCTCCCCCCTCGGGGTGCCGCTCCCTCAGGTGTCTCTCAGGTAGACCCAGTTGAGCCTGCCGAGGTAGCTGTCGACTCGCGTCCTGCTAGAGGTGCTGAGCCTGCGCGTGCGGAGCCTGAGCGGGCGGAGCCTGGGGGTGCATAGTCTGGGGGTGCTGAGGCTGGGGGTGCTGAGGCTGGGGGTGCTGAGCCTGGGGGTGCTGGGTCTGGGGGTACTGAGACTGAGGGTGCTGAGCCTGGGGGTGCTGGGTCTGAGGGTACTGAGCCTGGCGTTGCTGAGACTGGGGGTGCTGAGCCTGGTGGTGTTGCAGTTGACTGTGAGGCGCCTGGAGGACCTCCCTCTTTGCAGCAGCTACGTGAGTGGTACTCACGGTACAGCAGCCTCCGGCGGGGTGCGTCTCGGACTCGTGGTGCTACTGGAGTTGGTACTAGTGTTTCCCCACCACGGCGGGAGCCGCCCTCTTCCCCACAGCTTCGAGAGTGGTACACTCGGCACATCAGTCTCCGGAGTGGAGCTGCTGGTGCTGGGGTCCCCGGAGTAGACGCTGCTGCGGGTGCTGCGGACCCTGGTGCTGGAGGTACTGCTGCTGCTGGCGGTGCTGCTGGAGGTGCTGCTAGTACTGAGGACCCGGGCGTTGGAGCTGCTACGGGTGCTGCGGACCCTGGTGCTGGAGGTGCTGCTGCTGCTGGCGGTGCTGCTGGAGGTGCTGCTAGTACTGAGGACCCGAGCGTTGGAGCTGCTGCGGGTGCTGCGGACCCTGGTGCTGGAGGTGCTGCTGGTGCTTCTGGAGGTGCTGCTGCTGCCGCTGGTGTCTCTGCTGGTTCGAGAGTTGCTGCACGGCCACGGCCGTACTTCGTTCCGCTCCTTCAGCAGGTTCTTGGTCAGCGTCCTCCTCCTTGTCCTCCTCTCGCCTTAGAGTGTCCGCCGTCTGTCCGGTCACAGCCACAGTTACCGCCTGCCTCCCCACTCCCTGTGCCTACTCCTTACACTGGTCCGACTGGAGGTCTTGCTGAGAGACGTGAGCCTGCGTCACGTCCCGTGTCACCTGCGTCTCGTCGAGCGTCGCCTGTTCGAGCTGCTACCACTGGTAGTCGTGTCCCGCGTGAGT